TACACAGTACACACATATTATGTAAACAAAAACTTGTTTTGGATGCGATTAATCGTTTGACAGCACTAAACATTTTTTTATTTTTTCGAAACATTCTCATGATAGGACATTGTTAATTTTAGAATAAATAAATTCAGCACTAATTTTCATTTCAATTATTATAATTTTTTTTCATATGATTTATTTTTTGGACCAATTTGTAAATTATTGGCCAGGTATTCCAACATAGTTATTGTTATCAGCAGGGTTATTAAAGTAAACTAAAACTAAATCCATAACAACATTTTTTTTTACTTGAAATAAAATAAGAAATAAAACTGAAATAAAGTCAAATAAAAATAAAAAAAATACTTGCAATGCAGCATCTCATTTACTACTAAAATAACTCAAACTAAAAATAATTTAAATAGTTCATAAAAAAATTTAAACTATACAGTATTAAACATAAATAATCTAATAAAAGTTACCATAACGCAACAAAATTACTAATATTTTATTCAAAATTAAAAAGAAAATATACAGATAAAGTCCAATTTAAAATACTTACAAAATCTATAATAGTATCTCAATGATCGTCAAAATCCAGTATCCATCGACCTCTAGAATCGCTTTCCTGATTAGATTCTGATTCAGAAGCTCTAGGTTTGATTCTGTTTCATTTTGACTGTAATCTATAATCAGATGTATCCGTTGTGATGTCTGTTCTCTCTGTTTAATGCTGTAAACAATAGAGGGAAACTGATTCAAACCAGTAACGTCTTTTGAACAATTTATTAAACCAGAATCAGACGAGACTAGTCAATAGTTATTTTATTGAGATTTTTCTTCGTCAACCATTCTTAGTAGACAATCACTTAGTCTGAACATTGGTCATGCTGTAGGTTTGTTTGTGCGTGCAGCCTGCCTGGATTATTTTGTTGTATACTCCTTTTTATTGGATTACTTTCAGTGCAGACTTGTGAGATATGATTATTCTTTCTGGGTGTGATTTTACTGCTCAGAAACTCATAATAATGGAAATGTTGATGTCTCGTGAATGTAACGACAGTTTTTAGTTGGAAAATGCTTGAACGCAAATCCCAGATGATATTTTTTATGCACCAAAAACCAATTCTAATTTTTCATCAGCCTCTGAACATAGCATGTTGAGCCTCTTCTGAGTTGCTCCATGTGGATGTTTTGTTCACAGTCTGATGACGAACACGGTGGTTCAGGCCTACAACACGGGCAGACCTGTGTGGAGCTGCTGCTGGTGCCATGATAACAACAACTACATTTACGCCGGTCTCGCCAGCGGCTCTGTGCTGGTGTACGACACGCGGGACACCAGCACTCACGTTCAGGAGCTGGTGCCGCTGCGCTCCAGGTCACTTTCAACTGTATCGGCTTTGGTCAAACTGTAGCATGCTGTAATTGAAGACTTCATTTGCAAAAACAGATAACTCCATTCTTATGTATTTTCAGAAATCATGTTTTTTTTTAATTGTGCATTCCAAGTAATATCAATCAAACTGCAGTTGGGTTGTTTTGATTAAGTAATAACGCAAACAAATACAGGTAACTTACAAAATTAAAGTTCATTGAAAGTATGTTTATATAAATATATTAATATATAATTTATATATATAAATTAAACGTTGTTTTATAGCAAAAGCAGATAACTCCCAACAGTCGTTTTTTGGCAAAAGCAGATAACTCCACATTTCATGTTCTAGAGTTAAACAAAAACACTCGTTTAATCTTTGTAATCTCCTCAGATGACAATGTAGACGTCTGACAAACGTCGTTGTGATCATAGACTGTATGGTACGCAATACACAGAGCTTTTCCCTCACCATTGTAATGTGCTGCTTTTGCAAGACTCTTTATTTTCCTTTTTCGTAGTTAACTTCGGGGAAGTCGTGGCCTAATGGTTAGAGAGTCGGACTCGTAACCCAAAGGTTGTGGGTTCGAGTCTCGTACCTGCAGGGATTGTAGGTGGGGAGAGTGAATGTACAGCGCTCTCTCCCACCTTCAATACCACGACTGAGGTGCCCTTGAGCAAGGCACCGAACCCCCAACTGCTCCCCGGGCGCCGCAGCATAAATGGCTGCCCACTGCTCCGGGTGTGTGTTCACGATGTGTGTGTGTTCACTGCTGTGTGTGTGCACTTAGGATGGGTTAAATGCAGAGCACTAATTCCTAGTATGGGTCACCATACTTGTCACTTTCTTCACTTTCGTAAACATACATATAGTTTGTCGAAATGATCCATCCTCGATCACTTTTAGTCAGCTTTGACGAAACTCCTCTCAGCTAGCACGTCTTTTCCTTGTCACCTGACCTGAATACAGCACGCTGATTTGCTAAAATGGACTTATCGGCTTGAAAGTGGACAATACCGGCTTTTTTGACAAAACGCGTTTAGGGTTCAGATCGCGCAGATATGTGGAGAATAATGCACAGCACTCAATTCTTTTATTGAATCAATTCTTAAAGTGGCGTTTATCGTTTTTTGCAAATGAACTCTTTGTATATTACTTGATTGTGTTCTATACAAACTGTGGAGAAACGGTTTGTTGATATTATTGTCCCGCTTCTTCATTGCAGCTGTCCAGTGGTGTCTCTGTCCTACATCCCGCGCGCCGCCTCCAGCATGTTCCCGTGTGGCGGCCTGATCGCAGGCATGCTGGAGAGCGGCTGTTTCTGGGAGCACGTGGAGGGAACCACATACACGCCCCACATCCTGCCTCTAGAGTCCTGCACCTGCACAGACATACAGGTGGAGCCGGACAGCAGACACTGCCTCGTCACGTACAGACCAGGTCCATATCAAACTCGCATACCAGCCCTGTTCTCATATTTACGTATCGCAGTTATTTTCTTTTTTTCGCTGAAAAGTAATATGATGGCTGCCAGTATAGAGTTATACTGTTCTGTTGGTTTATTCAGTTTAAAAAAATAAAAAAAAAACAGCTTCTATTTATTTATTCCATTTAAACTGTAATTAGTAAAAAAATCACTAATATTTAGGAGCCAGGCACCAAAAGTGCGAAAGCATCTATTGTATCTGTTAGTTTTCTTATTATTAATATTAGGGGCCTAGCACTGAAGGGTCGTCTTCTGCTCTATGGCAGCCCATAGAACCGCTTGCGGAAAAGTTACGAACTTTGGCCTACAGATAGAGGATAATCTCAATAATAAGCACTGCAAATTTGGAGTCTCTAACTCAAACCCTCTAGCGCCACCAACAGCTCAAATTTGCATTTCCATTTATGCTAATAACTTTTGTACCGCCATACTTTTTCGTTTTTTCAAACTGCTAGACCATTGGTCTGATTTTTGCGAAAATTTATCCAGATCATCTTCAGACTATGACAAAAAAATATATATATTATGGAATTAAAGTTGATCAGTCAAACTGTTCTCAAATAATGCATTCAGTATCTAGTTTCATTTGGTTACGCATTGCTTATGAATGTTGATGCTTGTGTAAGCAGTTTGATGCTGGCCCTGTTAGTTATGCGCACATATTCAGCATGATTTCTCCGCTCTGTCTGCAGGTCTGGGATGCCGGCACTGGTGCTCTGCTTCAGAAGATGCCCGCGGATCTCCCCGTGTTGGACATCTCTCCGTTTGAGGTCAGCCAGAGCAGCTTTCTGGCCTCTCTGACTGAGAAGATGCTCAAGGTCTATAAATGGGAGTGAGGCTGAGAGTAACATTCAAACACAAATCTGAATACGCCTTTCTCATAAACCAAATACTGGTGGACTGGGACGCCGGGTGACACTGTTGTCTTTTCACTGTGTGCTTTTTCTGTGTTTTGTTTGTTTTAAATGTAAATCCTTTATATTATCTTCTGTTCATTATAAAGAGTTTTCTGTTTTTGACCTTCAAATCAGGGCTTTATTAATGTCTTAGATAAGAGTGATCAGTGTTTTCATCGTATATATGCAAGTGTCTTTTAATTTTTTAATAAAAGAATAAATGCCTACATTGACACGGTTTGTGAGAACCTTAAAAACATCTATATAGGAGTGGCACAATGAAATCAATAGGACCAATACAAAGTGATCTTTTTTTAAGTTAATAAAGTTGATATTAGGAATATTGTCTTAACTGGGATTTGAGTCAAAATCGAGTTATTTCTTCGGTGTCATAAATGTAAGAAATGTTCCTCTGCAGTGGTCCAGCAGTGACAGGGTTATACATCTGGGCCATGGCTAATATGTTATTGGTAATTAAAATGAGAGTTATTGGTTTTTTTTTTTTTTACAACAAACATAAGTGAATAGTGCCAATATTTTAACTAACTATAATCTCACCATACTTTCCCCTTTCCATAATTAATCATAGTCGTATATTAAAAGAATTGTTTTGTATTGCAAGTTTTCTGAAATGTTTAAATGATCTAATTACTTATTTACGTAAATTTCAGAAATCGACATCATAAAGCCTAAAACAACATTATTTCAGTTTCTTGGCATATTATAGTTAAAGGTTTTTACGATGGGATTTTGAATATATATTTATATCATTCCATGAATCAGAAAATATTGTCAATAGCCATAAAAAAAGATAATTTCACCATATTTTAAGAATAACATGCAAGTGTTCTATGTACAAACCCCTCTGTAAAAACCTTCAGAATATATATATATATATACTGTGTACTAGTGCTGTCAGACGATTAATCGTGATTAAGCGCATCCAAATTAAAAGTTTTTGTTTACATAATATATATGTGTGTGCTGGGTATATTTATTATGTACATATAAATACACACAGTCTATATATATTGAAAATATTTACATGTCTATATTTATATTCTTATATATTATATTATATATAAATATATTGACCATAAACAACATATTTTTTCTTAAATATATACATGCATGTGTTTGTATTTTTATATACATAGTACATATACACATTATACACATGTAATCAAAAATGTTATTAGGGATGCGATTAATCGTGATTAATCGTTTGACCACTAATATATATATATACATCTATACAAACCGCTTTTGCAAGGTATGTGTTGTAATTGAAATCTACGGTCAGACGTAAATAAATAGAGTGTAATAGAACATTACAACATGCATAATTCTGAAGTTGTGTCATGTAAATAAAAATGGTTTCTGTTAACAAGCTATAACAGCTGTTTTCTGCAGAGGGCGCAGTCCTTTTTTCTTTCTTTTTTGCAAGACACGTTTGCTTTATAAAAGATAGAATTTAAGTGTTATGTCCAGAAATATTGTTAGACATAAAATGTAATTCGAACACAAAAAGGATCTCGATTAAAGTAAATGAATATGCTGTGCTCATAAACGCTCCTGATTGGTGCATCCTGGTCATCGCTGAGGAAAGTCACAGGCACCAGGTGACCGCTGTAGGCGTTACTGCAGCTGCGTCCTGATCATAGCGTTTCCTGAATAAAGGCACTGATACACTTAAAATGGTTTGACTGAGAACACACAGTGAAAAGTTAAAACATAAAAAATAGCGTTACTTATAGTTACACACCCATCATGCAAAGTCTGGACCTCTAAGCCCCGCCCATTTCTCAACTCCCTGTTTCCTTATCTTCCTTTTATCGAATAAACCAAGTGTCTTTAGTCTACGTGGCCCATGTTTAGTTCGTGAACCCTGAATTCCGCACCACTTCACCCGAGAACTAACGAATCCTACTGCGGTTGGGGATTTATCTCATGAATATTAATAACACAACCCGCTCGGACGTTCAGGAAGCGACGCGACGTCAGCGCGTGCTCATTAATATTCATGAGCGTCCGATTCGGCCGTTCTCTCCGCGAAGATGGCGGCGTGTAGACGTGTGCAGCGACTGCTGCTGTTGATGTGCATCTCCGGATGCATGTCTAACGCTCTAGAAGGCAAATCGGACACTGAAAACGCCGCGGAGAATCCCGAAAGAGGCAGAAACGCGGCGGGAGAGGGGAAAGCGGCGGCGCCGGACGGGGCCTCCTCGGTGCGGCGCGGCGGCGGCTGGAAGCTCGCGGAGGAGGCGGCCTGTCGGGAGGACGTGAGCCGGATCTGCCCCAAACACTCCTGGAACAACAACCTGGCCGTGCTCGAGTGCCTGCAGGACCGAAAAGACGTAAGAAAACTCGGCCGAGTCTGTATTTAACACATAGTCTGTGAGCGCGGGGCGATTAAACCGCGTACAGAGCAACACTGACTGATCATCCGTCTACATAACGTTACGTTAGTGTGCTAACATTCATAACTTACAGGACGCATACATTCATAACTTACAGGACGCATACATTCGCAACTTACAGGACGCATACATTCGCAACTTACAGGACGCATACATTCGCAACTTACAGGACGCATACATTCGCAACTTACAGGACGCATACATTCGCAACTTACAGGACGCATACATTCGCAACTTACAGGACGCATACATTCGCAACTTACAGGACGCATACATTCGCAACTTACAGGACGCATACATTCGCAACTTACAGGACGCATACATTCGCACCTTACAGGAAGCATACATTCATAACTTACAGGACGCATACATTCGCAACTTACAGGACGCATACATTCATAACTTACAGGACACATACATTCGCAACTTACAGGACACATACATTCATAACCTACAGGACACATACATTCGTAACTTACAGGACGCATACATTCGTAACTTACAGGACGCATACATTCGCAACTTACAGGACGCATACATTCGCAACTTACAGGAAACATACATTCACAACTTACAGGTCACATACATTCACAACTTACAGGACATATACATTCATAAGGTACAAGCACAGGTGACGTGAGAAGATATTTACTCATATTTATTAAAAACCAGACGCAGATTGACAAGAAAGGCCTCTGAATGTCACGTACAGGGGTTCAAGATCCGGTTATCACGATTAATAGAGTGCTTCCTGTTAATGGCTGTATTTCAATCCCTTGTGTGCTGCCTACTTAGAGCTCACCAGTAAGTTACGCCCAAAATATGCGGTCCGAGTCAGCCACTCTGTGACGTCACCGGCGCTCTTAGCGTGCGCGACCTGATATGATGTTATGATATGTTATGATATTATGATATGTTATGATTAGAGCCCGACCGATATGGGTTTTTTGGGGCCGATACCGATATTAGGGAGTAAAAAAAAGGCTGTGTATATTATAGTACAGTACAAGTCAAAAGTTTGGACACTTTCCCATTCGTGTGTCCAAACATTTGACTGGTACTATATATAGAACACAGTATATACATAAACAGAATACATAAACACATTTTTTGCAATGATCACTCAAATGTGGTGATCAAACACTTATGGTGACAGAGATATGTAAGGTCATTTAACAATAAACTTACGATGAGTGCGATGCACAAAGTAACGGGGTGTTAGTTGTAACACACGTGGTTTGAATATATATATATTCTGAACCCCATGTGGATTTGCACAAACTGAGAAAGTCAAAAAGTGTTACTTTGTGCCCCGCTCTCCCCTACCTCTGTAAATAAATACAATATAAATTCACGTCTCGCGCACTTTAATGCCCTTTGAATGTAACGTGTACGTTCCCTTGGAACTGGAATCATGGCGGAATTTTATGTGAAGTCCACTTCGCAGGGCACTTACGGTCGAATAAGACCACACTTGAATGCTGCCTGAACAAGAAACCTCATTACTGAAGGGAAAGTGTTGACTGGTGTCACTATCTCGCGAACGCGCCGGCGGATCTCCACCAAATTCGGGCGATCCCTTCAGCTCGAGGAGCCCTCTCGAACGCCACCCTCTGCGCGTCGGTAGCCCCCCGGGATCGCTAGATCAGTCGGCGCCGGACTGCGAATTTAACCACCTGTAACTCCCGAACCCCGGGAGCTATCGACGCGGGGTGGTCTCATTCAAAAGCGGGCCTCTAGACGTACACTCGATTCGCATTCGAGAGGGTTCCTCGAGCTGAAGGGATCGCCCGAATTTGGTGCGGATTCGCCGCGACGTTACGGAGATATGGCCGTTCAAAGTTTCAATGGTTTCCATTGACTTAAGCTTTAAAGCGTTTCATCCAGGTCGCCAGTAGCAAACAATGGAGCATGCTCTGCTGGACAAACTAAGTAATTACACAATTTCAAGCATTTTTCTGCATTATATGTTCTGTAAAAAAAAAATTCATATCGGCGGCATATTCGCCGATACCGATATATCGGTGACAGGCTCATATCGGCCGATAATATCAGCAAAACGATATATCGGTCGGCCTCTAGTTATGATGTTATGATATATTATGAAAAATGCCGTCACCGATACTAGCAGCAGCAGGGTGGTAAACTACTGACTTGCTGCCTTATCAGTCAGTGACTTGCAGGCAGCGTTGTTGCACGAAGACACCTCATGAAACTGATTTCGGACAGGCTTCTGACTCTGAGGCAGCGTAGCGGTTTAATGATCTACAACAAAATAGAACGAGTTTTGATGATAACATAATATAATATAATACTGATTTCTCGCTAGAAATAACATCAAAAGTGCAAAAAGTTAGTCAGAAATATACATTTACACACAAACTAACCACCAAAAAACACAACGTTCAGATGCCATCTTTATTTATTTTTTATCCCAACTGTCACGGAATGGAATGGAACGCACAGGATTGTGGGATATCAAAGGCAGTGAAGGATACATCTATGCTGCCTTTAAAATTCGATCAGAAGAAGGTACCTCCGGAGACCGGAAGTGAAGCAGAATTAGGATTCGGACGTGCCTTGATGCCTTCCTGCCTCCGAAGGCAGCATTTTAGAGCTTTCGGACGCAGTGCAAGTAACCTTAAAGGTGCAATAGGTGATTGTCTTCAGAAACATTTTTTGTTATGCTGGTTGAAAGTCTCTTCACATCTCGATAGCAATCATTAAGTTAAGTGGTCTAAATGTATTTATCTGTATTTCTATATTCTGTGGAAGGCGTAGGACCAAGAAATGTTCGTCCAATCAAAACGCTCGGTCCGAGCGTTTTAATAAGCTTTCCTACCTGCCTGTCAACTTATGTATCTGCATACCTCTGCGCACCTGGTTCGCGCAGACAGGACATGTCATCAGCGCATTCACGCACGCTGAGCAGACAGAGCGAGAATGGCAAGCAAACATCAACAACCCGATCTTCCTCCCTGGTATTGTAGTACTTTTAAAGTTTTCTCACCGGTGAATGACACATGATGTAGCCCAGCGATTAATCCAGTCCTCGCGCCCCCCGCTCTGCATATTTTGCATGTCTCGCTTAGTTAACACGCCCGATCCAGATAACCAACTCTTTAGAAGAGAGCTACGTGCATGAACTGTGTTCCGATCGATATGATCTGAGTGTTCATTGCTCCCTCCTCCCTGAGCAGGGGAAATCCGTTGAAGTTTACTTCACTTCGGAACATGGGCTGGAACTGGGAACCGCTGATGTAGCCTATTGTAGTAATGTTGTCTGTGGTCTGTGAGTGTATATGCATTCAGGGGGCGTGGCTTTAGACGGCGATTGCAGGGAGGGTGGGACATTCGCTTCAGTGCTATCAGGCTAAAGTTAGCATTTTCCAAGATCTCCTATTGCGCCTTTAATGCTAGCAAATAATATGAGCACAGTGGCTTACTGTTAATGTCAGCATTATAAATAAAATGTACATGATTTTCTGTTTTGGAAATTATAATCTGTGTATTGTAAACGTTTTCACTTTGTATATATGTATTATACAAATATTTGTTTATTTTAATTTGACCTCGTAATATTTAGTCAATTTAATAACTCAATCTTTCAGTTAAAATGTCTGACTTCTCTCTGGCGACACAAGGGAAGGGAAAAAATTAAAATCCTGTCATCTACTCAGCCTCATGTTGTTCCAAATGTGTTAGAGTTTATTTCCTCTGTTGAACACGAAAGAAGATATTTTGAAGGATGTTGGCAACCAAACAGTTGACGGTAGCCATTGACGTACATAGTATTTTTACCTTACTATGGAAGTCGATGGCTACCGTCAACTCTTTGGTTGCCAGCATCCTTCAAAATATATTTTGTGTTCAACAGAGAAAAGCCTGTTCCAAACATGCAAGAGTTTGAATAAATGAGCATTCAATCAATCGTTAACATTCAATCAACAATTGGCTGATATAATGTTGCATCGTGCACTTCCGAGAAAGCTAATTTTCATATCATTCTTAAGCAGAATTATAATTCTCATGAATAGGTATATCTGTAAAATGCACTATTTATTTTATATTCTTCACAGTATTTGCAAATATTTGTTTTTATTTGGTTTTAGTCACATTCACCTAAAAAATAACTAAAATATAAAAATAATTTCTGAAAGTGATTCCGGAGATATCATTACTCAGTGTTGTTGGAGTTGTGGTATAATTAGAACGATTATTAAAACTTTATATTTGATTTCATTGTAGTTATCATCCTTGGTATGAACAAGTATGGCTTGTATACTGAATTTCTGCTGTTGTTCGACTTGACTGACTGGTTGTGCAGTGTTCATTTGTAGAGGAGGGTTCATGATATGTAAGTACTGCTATTAGTTTGGCAAGGGTTAGCCATTGTTTGGTGGTGGTGCACATCTTTTTAATCTTTGCATGATCACAAATATGGAAGCAATATGATCATTGAGGTCCTTGTGTAATAATACTTCTAAAGTGTCCCATTTATTGCCAGTGTCAGGTCTGCTAGATGTGTAATGTGAGTCAGGTAATTAGCTCTTAGTTACTGATTACACAAACAGCGCTTTTACTTTTGTTGAACATCTGTTGAATGGTTCTTAACTAGCAGAACTGGGTTTTCCTTTACTTGTGCTGATTATGGGTTTGGCGTTGGTTCTGTGATCTGTTGTATTGGATTGTTCAGGCCTGGCAGGCAGGCCCTGTTTATGGTGGGTCATTTTCTATGGCTGTTCATCACATTGCAGGTTATTTTACTAGATGTTCTTCCCAGCCTGGTCATAACTATTACAAATTATTTCTCTGTCAGCTCATCACAGATAACGGTTATTTCATCTGGCTGTTCATCACATTACATGTTATTTATCTGCCTGTTCATCATATTACATGTTATTTCTCGGCTGTTAATCACATTGCAGGTTATTTCT